GTTTCAGCAAGGCTCTAAATATCTTTAAGGGAATATTTTGGAGTATGGTTGTTCTTTATTGAGGAAACACCTGTTATCCACATTTTATGGGTAGGCTGGTGAGCTCAGAAGTGATGCTGTTTGCAGAGAGTTTGGGGTATAAAGGGCCTAACTTGATTCCTGCAAGCCTTAATCGTGTGCCATAACTCCTGCCCAGCCTTCCTTGGGGAGTCTGTGGGAGAACACAGCTGATCCTTAAGGACAGGTTGCCTTCACAGAGTGGTGAATAAATAACTGGTGTATGGAAACAGAAAAGTACCCAGATGAATGGGGTGGGAAGGATGTGACCATTTCTGTGTAGTGTTGTAGAATGCTGCTTTTAACGTTTTTCCACAGATCTTTTCAGCAGAGCCCTTTGGTGCAATGGGCCAGACCTGTGGCTCTGTCCCTCCTTTGAGGGAAGCTTGGGAATGTCAGACATGGGATAAATCACAGGAGAGCTGCAGGAGGCTGTGCTCTGAGCTGGTCCTCAGGGCTAGAGAAAACTTTCAAGGTTTACCTGATGCTAAGCCTGGGTGTGTGCTGGAGAAATCCAAATTTGGTGGCAATCTGCTATTCCTTGGATACGTACTGAGGCAGAAAGGTGTATCCAGGCTGGGATGCACTCAGGAGCAATCATCTGGAGCAGGGGATGTAGGTGAGGTGTCCTTACATCTGGCCCACAGCAGTGCTCTGGTGTGCTCTGGAAGGTGTCAGCAGTCACATCCCTGTCTGGCCTTCTGGTTTCTTCGGACTTGTCTCCTACCCAATAACTTTTTCAAGTTGAATGAGTAAAATGGTTGATTCTCAGCACTGAGCTTTTCTGCACTCAGTGATTATTTACCAGTTGTGACAGCTCTGCAGAGTTTTGTCCTGGCCAGTAGTGTCAGCAGATGCATTGTGTTGACTTCCTGAATCCAATTTGTAACAATAATGTTTTTCTCATACTGTGTTTCTGGAAGCAATTTGCCTGCTTTGCCTTCCCCATCTCCTTGTCCCGGGACACCCCAGCGAGAGCTGTGCCCTGCACACTCCCAGTCACCTTCTATTTGCCTATTTCCACTGCCTCAATCCCCATCTTTTGGGAATAGATTTACGGGAGACGACTGTAGACACTAAAAGTCATTTATGAGATAGACTAGTGAGAATCTTGGGCAGCTTTTCTACATGAGACACTCTGCTAAAAAACAAAAGCCCAAAGGTAAAATTTCCTAAGCTGCTTGATTTATTTGATTAATTTCCTCCATCTATTCAATTTCAAAGCCATTTAGGAATATTATTTGCACAAACATTTAAGTTCTCTTTAACTAAAGTCAACCAATGTGTTTTTTCAATGAGCTGGAGCTCATGAGAAAGATTCAAACATCAGCTGTGTAAAGAANTTAGTGTTTGTACAATATATTGACAATTAGCCCTAAGCACACTGAAAAAAATACATGTTTTACACATGTATGTTTTTCATCCAATTCCATAGTTTGTACTGAATCCTGACACAGATAATTCCAGAAGCTACCAAATGAATACAAACTGTGAAAGAGGTTGCAAGTGTCTATAAAAAGAGGGGGTCTAGCTGTAATGTAGTTGGTTTTGCTCTGTATATTTGATCACTTGAAGGAAAAGCCTTTTCTCCTGCTGTAGTATGTCAAGGAAGCATCTGCATGTAAACAGCAAAATGAAACCTCTCTTGTGTTGTAAGGGTTGAACTTCTCTCGTTTAGAAGTTGAGCTTTTCTAAAAATGTACCAATGATGTCATCCTGATAACAGGACATACTCCTCTAACTTTGTCATGGAGTGATACTTTCCCATAGATTTTAAAGCTGTCACAGGAGTAGGAAAAAGCTGTCATAATCATAGGAATCAGTGGAAAAGTTTTATTTTAATAAAATAAAACTGTTGGGGGAGCAACTGTCATGTTATCTGCATTAAAGATTGTGCACCCATTATCAGGAGTGTTTTACCCACAATTTGATAGGAATTTGGATCAAGGACCATTTTCCTGAAGGGGGAGAAACAGGCATTGTTGGTACAACCATGGAGTACCAGTTAAAAACTTTAGAGTATTTTCTGAAAATAGGAGTACACCTATAGCTATCAAGGAAAATACTATTTTTTCTTGTAATAATTTAATGTTTAATAGGACAGATCACAAAACAAAATAATTGGCTTGTGAGGCTCTGGTGCTATAATGGACAAAAATGCACTTTCTGCAGTAGATTATATTAAAGTATTTGTTGTTTATATGAATTATTGTGATGTATATAGAGCAGAACCTTTCAGGAAGACAAACTAAAACTTTTGTTTGTTTCTGCAAGAGAATTCACAGGAGTGAAAGTCCATATGGAGTCTTGGATGCAGGAGTACAACAGCTCGCCTTAACATGTAGAAGAGAGCATATGGTTTTGGTAATAGGTTAATAAAAGCAATTAATCTTATAGTGCACTCGTTGGTCTCAGTTGTTTATAAACTAGGTAATAAAGGTATTTTAACATCTATAGTTTTACAGGAGATTAAGTGAAATCAGGCTGTATTTTTCAAGTTTTAATGCCAACAGTATTCAGGTGATACTGAGACAGAAACATAAAATTAACAGAGTAGAACATTCAGAGTACTCTAGTGTGTCCAACCAATGGAAAGTATCACAACTGTTGAAATACATAGAATAGTTTAGAGAAATACAAACATATGTTAAAGGTTTTCATTAGCAGAGGAACTGTTTTCCTGGGATGCAGATGTCACAGATCTGTCACTCAGCTTGTTCTTGTCACCTTGCAAAGACTGCAGTGTGAACTGTTTCCAGGCTTTATTCACGTACAAAAGAATTTTAAACTTACCTTCTTCTTCTTGAGGATGAGCCTCATAAAAGAACAGGCTAAAAAAATCAGCCAGCACTGTCATTGCTTTATTTTGTTTGTTTTGAAGGACTTCCTGCAGAATTTTCTCTGTTAGGAGCTGCTGTGCTTGCCTGGCAAACAGAATAAGTGGGTGCAGATGAGCAGGTTGGTGTTGGCCCCACAAACTGCACCCACAGGAAAAGCCATTTTTACTTCATTCCCTATGGGCTCCTCACACTTCAGGTGGTGTCATTTGTTGTCCAGTTGGGCACCTTGCTGCAAAGACAAGTGACATCAAGGATTGTGTGATTTTGTTTTGTGAGTACTTTGGGTTCTAGGCTGGTGGTGATGGGAGAAGGGATGGTTTCACCATAATAATAGTTTTTTATTTGGTTCTGTAATTTGTATCAGTCAGCTTTCTGGCCTCCTGCTTTTGTGCAATATTTGTTTTGCAAACTTCTACATACTTATTTGGCTACTATATTATTATTCCAAAAGAAGCCTCTAAATCAGCCCATCTGCAAATTTAACTTGAGCATGTGAATAAAGAATTATATATATATATATATATATATATAAATTATTCTTTTATATATATATATATAATGATATATATGTATCATTCATATATATAATATATCTATATATATGAAGAATGATGTATTGTGGTTATTGGTTTTGTCTGTCCTTCCTGATTTACTGTTAATTGTATGATTTTTACCTTACATTTTGGTTATAAGCTATATTGATATATTTAGCTGATGATAACCCAAATGAGCTATGATTCTTTTTTTTTCTTTATCCTGAATTTGAACATCAAATCAATAATTTCTTTCTTTAGATTTTCTTCAGAGGCTTCCATGAAGCCTTTCTGTACAAATTTGTGGTCTCATTTTTTCTCTTTCATTGAATTGACTGAACAATGTATTTGCTGGTGCAGCATTCACCAAAGATGAGGAGTCTTTTGCTTTATTAGACTTGACAGTATTTAAACAATACTGATTCTCATACCCAGCTGGCTTTTCAACTGATTTCTGTGCTCTCTATTGCTGTGTAAAACAAGCTGGAACATTAATGGCATCTTGCATGCTACCCTCTGGAGACCTACTTTTCTTTAGAGAAAAATCAAATAAATGTGAAAGTTTCTGGGTTTTCTCCTTATAGTTTTTTTTTCTCTCTTTTCAAAAGATTCTTTAGTGTACTGTCAGATTTTGTACGTGTTACAATAATAATTTTCAAGCACATAATTTTTAAAAGTACTCTTAATTTTATAGCTAGATTGACTGGTTTGCTCATTTTTAAATAGAAATAAATGCCTTCATCTACACCAGAATATACCAGCTTTAAAAACATATTCAAGATGCACATGAATGTGCCATTTTAACCCAGCTAAAATTTTGTATATTGAAAATGTGTTTGCTAAACAGCCAACGAACATTTGCAGATGTTAATCATTTGTTCAGCTTCTCACTTTTAACAGTACTGAGTATTCTTCATGAGAGAGAGAGAGAGATAAAAAAACCACTTTTCTAGACGATAAATATAAATATTTAAGACATGCATTTAGACAAGTCCAAGCCTTAAAAGGTTTGCTCCTGAAGGATGAATTTTGTCTGTTCTAGAACACCCATCTGTGATGGGCTGCAGCCATTGCTGAGGTGACCATTGCAGCACAACTCTCTCCTTCCAGTCCTTCAGAGGCTGCTTAATTTCATATAAAGTTCAGTTAATTGTGAAATAGCAACTTTCTGAAACCCAGACTTGATTCTTGTCCCCTGCACCTCCCCAAATTCTCAGCCCTGCAGCAGGGTAAGGATTTGGGGTTTTCCATTGTCCTGGTCAAAGGAGGGCAATGACCTCTCATAAAGGACTGGCCAAAGCTGAGGGGTGGGATTTGATATTTAACTTCAAGGAATCAGTGCTTTCTGAAGAAAATTTATAACCTAAAATATCTCCTATAATTTTTTGCACAGAAGCCAGGTGGCCCTGTACAAAATGTGTGCCAGTGTCTGTGTCCCACAGTGCCAGGACACTCCATGTCGTGCATGCAAAGGCACTGGGAAGCATTGTAGGGAATATTTTCTAAATAAAGAATGTTTTGATATCACAGTATTCCATTTAAGCAATTTTTTCCCCCTAATTTTCTACAGCTGGTCTAAAACCCCAGAAGAATGGAAGTTTCAAAAGACAAGACAGACGTGGCTTCTCCTGCACATGTATGATAAAGAGAAGGTTTGTATTCATGCTTCTTTTTCTCAGAACAAATATAATACAGTCTTATACATAAGTTATAGCTATTATTTATTAACCAAAACCTCCTAGTACTAGCCATGCACTTGTCTCATAATTTTTTAGTAACTTACAAATTACTTTGTTTTTAACCGAGCATTTTAATTGCTTGTCATTGATCTTTTTATTTTGTTGGTGATCATTGTCCTGTGTATGCCAGATTTTTATATTTGATGTATAGCAAGCATAAAGAGAGCAGATTCATGGTTTATTTAAAATGTGGAGTTTGCTGAGAATTTGAGTCATATTCTTAATTTGAATTTCCTAATGTGGAACCCAATACTGCAAACCACAGTTCTCATATTGTTTCAGATATCTCTGGCTCCACAGAAGAGGCACAGCCATATTGCCAGGATGTTAAAATAGCTCTCTCATTTAAATATAAGTGAAACCTGATGTTGATTGTGAAAAGCATAAAGTATAACCAGAAGCCAGGCTTGAATCCATACTGAAATCCATTCATTTCATAACTTAAAAAAACAACTTAAATTTAATTTCCAGTAAATATCTGACCATTGTGGTATCAAATGAGGGTGTCAGGTCATTCATTTTGTTGTGCAGTAGAACAAACCTCTGCCCATTTGCACAGTGCTTCACTTACTGGTTCATTTTGTTGACATTCAGTTAGGTTTTGCTGATTTTTTTTGTGTGCACTTGACATTTACTCATACCAATCATCCTGACCCAAATTAGTCAGCAGCTCTTAAGCCAATCACCTGACATTGGGTGTTACCTTTTTAGACAGCCAGATAATTAACAGCAGAGTTTCAGGAAGGCCAAAATGTTCACATGATACAAATACTTTAAATAGATGGGTTGCAGAATACAAATTTGATTTTGGTTTCTGAGTTGTTTGCTCTGTCTTCTATTTTTTAAGTTTCTCCTTTAAAAGTCTTTATCAACCTTTCAAAATCAATGCATGCTCTTCAAAGCTACCTAGAAATTGTTTGGCAGGCAGAAGGATGTTTTTACTCTTTTTACCTGTTTACTTTGGGGTTTGTGTTGAAATATACTGGGACACAATGAACTGTAAGTATCATTTGTTTTAGGTGTCAGAACACAGTTTAACTCCTTGTTTCTCAACACTGAAATGAAACTTCCTTTTTCTTAAAAATCTGATGAAAGTGCTCTGATTTACTTAAATTCACATATTTTGTAGTTTAATAATCAGAGGAGCATTGAATATGAGCTTCAGAGAACGATGAACATCTGCATCCAGATTCAGTGAAGTTAGTGGAACTGCTCAAGTGCTTATAATTAAGCATTTGATGAAGTCTCTTTCTTCATCAGGACCATAGGGAGGGCACACCCAGCTTCTTTTGAATATTTTTAATACCCAAATTCAACTTCCTGTCCATTACAGAATAAAATCTGTTGGTAATCCAAGCATGACTAACGTACAAAAGGAGACATAAGTTTCTTTCCTTCCTAAGCCACATCTTTGATCTCATGGTGTCACTTGGATGCCTGCTGAAGAGCCATGCAAAGGCCTGAATCGAGTTTCCTGTACTGAGAGGCTCTTTCTGTAAGAAATAAGTTGAGCTTTTAAAGTTGTTTGCTAGATAAATGTTTTTTTAAGCTCCTTTAAAATCCATCTGGTGGCTGGCTGGCAGCTCCCAAGCCAGCCCTGTGTACCTGTGGTGTGTATACCTGTCCAGCACCCAGGATAAAATAAACACTAGGCCATTTGTTGGTCTTTATCATCTGGCACAGCATTTTTAGGAAGTTACTAAATCAGTCTTCAGCTTCTGGACTTCAGGGCATGCTGGAGTTGCTGAAGGTTCCTTGGAAGGTGACCCAAAATGCAGCCTGGCAGCAATGAGCTGAGCTTCTCTCTGCTGGTGTCTGTGTTTGCTTTGCAAAATCACCTGGGTGCCTGCAGGTCTCCAGGTCTGAAAATACAGAGGATAATTTAGAAGTGATAACTGTTCTTTTCCTGGTACTCTTTTGTAGTGTTTCCTTCCTTTTCCCAAAGACAGGAATTACTTCACTTGGGATTATTTTGATATTAATCAGCTCCAGTGCATATTAGGAAGTTAGGAAAGAGGCAGAATTGTTGCATGAGAGAGAAAAAAAAACCCAAGAAAAAGGACAAAACACTTTAACAAAAGAATAATAACAAAATCCCATAAGCCTGGCTTGACTTCCAGACCCGTGCTGGGAGATCTTGATCTCCAATTTCAAACCAGCCTTGAACTGACCTTGGAACAAGGATTGTGTTCCTCCTTGGAAAACCTTGCCAAGACCCCTAAATTACCACTTTTGTACTACTGTATTTGAAGAATTAAAATTTGGTTTTCATTAACTTTGTGTGTTCCAGTCCTTGCTATGGCTCTACTGTCTGTGTAAGTCAGGAGGAGATGTGATCTTACCTTGCCTGCAGGGTGCTGTGTTGTGAGCTCCTGATGAAATAAACCTCAGAGCTGTGTTATGTTAAAAGAAAAAAATCAGACTTTTTGAACACTTGAACAGCCTTAGGGCCAAATGCTAAATGTTTTCTAGGCTTCAGGCAGCCTAAGTCTGCACACTTAGGATTTCTAAATTTAGAGCAGGCTTTCAATTGCCCCCTCAAGCATTTTGCTTAAATGATATAATAATAAGTGTACTGCCACAGGTATGTCCTATGCCATGAGCTCTGAGAAAAAGAGTTGTAAATTACAGGGATAATTTGGCCAAGGTTTGAAACGTGGAAATGTTGCTGACTTTAAAAGCTCAGTATTGAGTATCTACATTAAAGGAACACAGTCACACTGGAATTGTTTGTGTCTAAATGGGTTTATCTGTTATTAGTACCAACTTACTGTGGGTGCAGACTTTCAAAAATAGAGATATTCTTCACTGTGTTTGATTTGTGTAGTATAGCAACACTTCATATATCATCCATTTCTGTTAGTCATTGTAAAATTAATATTTCTTTTGTAACTGCATTGTTTCTTTAATGCAAGAGTGTTTGTGTGAAGAATTAGAAAGTTTTCCATAGTGTAAAAGTTACGAGCTGAACGCAGACTTAAGTTTTGATTTATAACTTTGTAATACCCCTGATTGATGAAGGCAATGTTGGAATATTCTTTCTTCCTCTCCTTTTGGAGTGATAGAAGTTTCAGTGATCAAAGTTCTGCTGCCAAATGTCCATGGAGAAAGAAGTTGTAAATTAAGTGTCTGTTGAAGCTCTGTCTTCTCTGAAATGTTGATACTTTGCAGAATTGAAACCGCCCTCCAATAATTAGTCTCGAATCCTTTAAATACTTACGTATGTGTTTAACTTGACTCATGTCAAGTTATATGTGTAAAGTTAAACATGGAGAAACATATTTGCAGGATGAGATCATTTTAACATCTCATGATTCACAGCAAAAAATATCCTGTTATTGGCTGAAACGTGTTCCACAGATACACAACATGAAGTTAAGATCAGTGTAGGTCTGTTCACATATTCCTTTTGAAAGTACTTTAGTACTGAAGTACTGAATAAATCATTCCAAAGTCCTTGCTAAGTTATTGTCAAGATTAATGTAATGATCATTTAAATTGTAAGTTGTATCAGATAAGCTAAAACTTAATCTCTGACTAGTTAATTAGAAAGGGAGTGAAACGTGGATAATGCGACTGTAGATGACTAAAGCACTTTTAATGTTAGACATGTTGGTAGAGCCTATCAGTTTTAGTCAGCATGATTTTAAAATTATTTCCATATGTCTGAATTTCAGTTTGTTTTTCAAATTCAATTCTAGTCCTTTGTATAAGCATTCTGTCAAAGTGTGCAATGGTGGGTGGTATCTCATCTTAGCAAACAATTTTTGGGTAAGGGCGAGGGGAATTCCAGCAAAATTCTTCCCTCGGACATATGCAATTCTCACCGAATTTAGTAAGATTTATATGTGTGTTTCCAAAAGGAGGGTTTGGCTAATGCGTTTTGTTTTTCACTTCCACCAACCCTGAGAGCCTTGGGCTCCCTGTCAGGCAGTGTTTGCATTTGCTGATCAGCATTTCCACATCTGCTGAGCATTTCCTCTCAGATGCTTTGCCCATCCGAGCACATGACAGTCCTCTCACCAGCTCCATCCCTCCTGGCAGCTTGAACCTTGGCAGGAAACATTTCCAACTTGGATTTCCACTTGAAGTTGGACTTTGGCAAATACCAAAGCCTGTGCTGTTCTCCTAATTGTCTTTCAGGTGATGCTGTGACGTGATTGTGAATACATATTGAGAGGGGAGAAAATAAAGCTCTTTTTCCTTCCTTTTGTTTTTTCTTTCAAGGTTCCAGACAAGTATTTCACCATTTTACTGGATTATCTGCAAGGGCTTCAGGGCAATGCACGAGACAAAACTGTGCAGAAAGCTGAAGCTTTTATGAAGGAATTTGATGGCTCTGATGTAGAAGACCCAAACCTGCTGGAGAAGTGTGAGCGCATCAGACAAGTTCTACAACTGCTGTCCTGAGAGCATTTCTGTGTCATAATTGTTGTCTGGTGGAGGGAAGGAGAGGATTTCACATACAGAGGCTGTAAAGGATTTGTAAAGATAATACTAAATTTTTTACTCGTAATTTTTTCCAATTGAAAATATTTATTGTGTTTGCAGGTGATGAAATAAAAAATAACATATACAGCCCATAGTCTTGCTATAATCTTACTGCACTCCTTTAGAAAAACAAACCTCTCTCCCTCTCATTAGTTTTTCTCCATCTCCCCCTCTAATTACTGTTAAATATGAAGAATGTTCCAGCTCTTAACAAGAAGAGCAAAGGAACCAACATAAAGCCTGGAGGGTCTTTTTCAATGGCAGCTTTTAAAATGAGTGTACAGTACAGTGCGTGCTCAGCCAGCTGTAATCTCTCACTTTCAGCTTCAGAAGGATGTCACTTGGATTTGGGAAAGATCATTTTCAGTCTGTTGAGCACGGGTTGTATAATACAGTTGCTTATTAGTACTTCACACGGTGATCTGGAGATACCATAAGCTTTGTTGGCTTTCCTTTTATATTTTAAAGTTTTCAAATGCTCTAGGGCAATTGTTTAGATACTCAGATAATGCACATATGGGAACAGATCAAATCCTTGACTATACGTGGTGAAATCATCAAAATATAGCTAAACTTTCCCTACAATCAGAAGTCCTGTGCTGTATCCAGCCTGCCAGTATTGCATTTTCTTCTTCCTCCTGCAACTGGCATCCAAAAGAGTTAAATTCATGTTCATTCCTTTTGGCATGGGGCATTTGTCTCTTATGAATGTGCTGAAAATGAGGCTTTCAAGTAAAAACCAAGGACATTAATTACTCAAAGTTGGATGATTGGCTTATTTAATAACACTGGTATTCAGGCAGAGTTCTTGACCTGATTCTTTAATGTTTCTGCAAACATTATTCATACTTTATTAATAACAACTATATGAAATGTGTGGTGTTTTAGAAGAGTGGCTGTCTTTGGGAATTACAACTTTAATTTGGGTGGGTGAAGGAGGGGAAGATCTGTGGATATGCAGGCCTGATTTTCCAATAAGAAGCACTTGAGTGGATTTGACAGCCTTCATAGTCACGGCTTAGTACAAATCTTTAAAGGTATGAAATGTATTACTAATAACAAATAACTTTCTGACTTGCTGAGGAGGATATTCTCAGCCAAAAAAGACTAGAAACCAGCATGCCCTCCTCTAAAAGAATAACTGGGATGGAGTTTGGCACAAGAATGGGCAAAATTAGGCAGCAGTGTCCAGGTTCTTCATTGAGCTGCTGATGGTGCCTTGGGCACAGCTGGGTGAGGGCTGCAGAGGAGACACAGCCAAAGCCTTTCTGAGCTGTGCAGCACTGATCTTCCAGTGAGAAATCTGGTGAAAAAGATCTGTAATAAAAAGAAGTGATCCTGACATTTAGTGAACTCATAAAGATCATTGGGTCATATATTTTACATGGGAGAATATGCAGCTGGGAAAACCTGCTGTCACTCCAAGCAGAAGCTGATACTTGTTTCTTTCCATGAGGGAAAATAGGAATTTCCCTGGGATGAAGTTTTCAAAGTATCTTTTTGTGGGTTTATCATTGCATGTTAGATGTCAGAGAAGAATTTTTGTTCTCCCTCAAGATATTTGAACATTGCTCCTTTTGATTTGTCTGTCACACAAAAATGTGGGTCCTCATTGTGCACTTAACATACCTTCCAGCCTAAAAGCACAAGCACATTGCAACTGCACTTTGGAAAAGAATTGTAAAAAAGATGCTAAAGGTAAGATCTGGGCAAAAATATGGGAATCTTTTATGATTTTGACATTTGGCAATATTAGCCTTTCTTGGACCTTAGTTCTAACCATATGTAAATGCTGACAAATCTGTAAGAAGAGAAGCTTTGTAGATCAAGAATGTAAAATTTTATTTTATATCAATTAATATTAAAAGCACACAAGGCCTGTCAGTCTGGAGACCATGTGAGCAGTAGTATTTGGAAAAGAACAGTTAGAGTCTCTCACCAGCACAGCAACAGACTCCTGGCAGTAGGTCCTGCTCTGCTCTCCTCTTCCTCAGCTGCAGTTCCAGCTTTCCTTTCAGTCCCACTGATTGCTGGGTGAAGGTCATGGTCCTGGGGCTCCTCTTCTTGCAGTTATGGAAAATTCAGAAGCTACAGTTGAAGATAATTGTTGCTGTGGCTGTGTTTGGCAGTGAAAGTAAAGCATGGTGCTTCCTGCCATGTGCCTTTTGGTGTAGCTACTGTCCAGTGGTCAGAAAGATCTTGAAATAGGGTAAAAGATTTGTAAAACTGCTGCTTGGTGGTGCTGTGTCTTGCATATCAGAGCTCAATATGAAATATTCAAAGAGTTGTCTAATACTTGATGTTGTAGTGCAAATAGAAAAGGACACTTCAATTCCATTTCATGTTTTTATTTCACACCTTTTCTTCAAGAATCTTCAGCTGGTTGGCAAACAAGTCATCTTCACAACAGCCAGGAAATGCAAGAACACACATTTTTGGGAGATCTGTATTGCTAGGCCTGTTTAAAAGACAAGATTGTGAGGACCCAGAGGGCTTATCCCACACACTGCAAATGCTGTAGTGCCTCTGACAAGCAGATCTTGCCTTGTCCATGTGCTATCCACCACACCAGCCTCTGCTTCCTGCTCAGCCTGGCATTTTCATCCCTAGATTTACATTATGTGATGACTAGGTCTAGAAAAGTCTCCTCCACTGGCCATTTAAAACTATTTATCTTAAATTATTAAGTGTGCAATCAGTTACTGAATTCCTGTAGCTGGTTGGAGCTGTGTGGGAAGATGTAATCTGGTACTTTATTCACTTTTTGGCGTTTGGTCACGTACAGTTTTCAAATCTCAGCATTGCTTGTATCTCAGGCAATCATATGGGCACAGATAGGACAAAATCATGTCTTTGCCTCTGTTTTAATCAGTCTGCTGTGTTAATAAAAATTGCATCCCAGGCTAGAAGTAGCAGTGTGCACAGAATGACAAATTATATCTTCATCTGCCTATGCTAATCGCCTTCTAGTCGAGTTAATCTGCATTGTGTAGCTCTGGCTAGCAGAATGCATGTCCTGAGAGAATGCTGAAGTCAGGACTTGCAGGCAAAATAAAGGAACACTAATTACTTAGAATTGCTTAAAGCTGGAGCTGTGCCTCTAATGGAAGTACTAATTACTCAAAATTTGACAGTGGAAGAAGTTCCCTTTAATTTGGCTGTTCCTTGCTGTGGGTTGTGTATCTATTTGGTTCTCCACTGTCTGCCCACAATTTTAATTTGTTATCACCATTGTAAAATTACTGTGTAAATGAATTCTGTTTGTATTTGGAAGGAGCATCTTGAAGTTGTTGAATGTGTAGTTTATTTCCTTATTTCCTCTCACTGGAAAATTGCTCTGCTGTGTTTCTCTTCATTTTAAAGCAAGGTGACTATTGACTCATCTCCCATTATTTCAAATAGCTTAGAAATGTATTGGATTGAATTTAGGGGTTTTGATTTTGTTTTGTGGGTTTTCTAAATTTTGCCATTGAGTAAGGCAAAGGTAAAAGTATTAAAATTTGCACCCATTTCTGCAAATCGGTGTCAAAAACAACAATCACAAAAGAGATTTAAGTTGCAAAGTCAAGCAGAAAATTAGAAAACATATGAATGGAAATTGTCTGTGTAATTTAAATTACTCCTTCATGCATATGTAGTAGGATGGAACTTCTTAATTATGTCAGCAGGGCTGTGTTTTCCTCTGCATGCGACTGGTAAGTGATTTATTCAGTGTTTTCCTTGCAGTTCTGCTGCTCTTCTCATTTCCACAAGGTAGGTCTACAAAGCAGTCCCAAAGCCAGAGAAGTGACTTTGCAGTTGGGCTTTGATCCTGCACAGAAGTAAGTAGAAACTTTCCTATTCCTTTGGTGTAGGAACTAGTCATAGATGTTTCATCACAAATGTTCCCTTTAAAATATGTTTTAATGTTCTGATTCATTTACAGTCAAAATACCAAATTGATGTTACTTAATTTAAATCCAGTTTTGTTGACATAAAACTTTCCAGTGGCTTATTCTGGTTTAGCCTTTGGTTTCCTTTTATGTCTTCCTTTCTGTACAGCTGAATGAGCTTGTTATTTCTGTCCCTGCAAATAGGAATATTAGTTGTTTACAGTGATTCCAGTCATACAAGGACACAATTAAATGTCCTTGCCTGTACAGGACAAGCTCATTTTTGCAGTGATTTATAATTATGTTCTATTTTAAATTCTTCATAAGGACCTACATAGTCAACAACTTAATGCGGTTTTAAATAATTATTATTTTAAAATATGGGTTTTTTCCCCTGCAAGGAGCAGGGAATAGCAAACTAAATAAAACTAATTAGTAAATGGTGGGGGAAGGGCAAAGCAAAACAGTGGTTTATCTTTCTTTGTCAAAACAAAGCTGAATAAGAAGCTTGTGCTACTAAGAAACTGGTGTTGCAGACATGGAGGGAGGGCCCTCTGGGTACAAACAGAAGAACACTCATACAGTTGCTTTTATTGATTTTTTTTTTGCCTTACATGCAGAAAATTTTTGGCATTCCCCAACAAAACCCACAAACACACCTACGTCAAAAAGTTAAATAGGTTTCAAAATCAAATCCTTAAAGGTCAAGAAATGCCACATGTATATAAATGGCCAGAAGAATTAAAATTCTACCTCTCCGTGCCTCCAGCCTGGAGACTGAATGAAGGGGGATTGTGTTAGAGGCAAACAAGCAAAAACCTCTAAATTATGTGAGCACATAGTTAAAACTGCCAGTTACCCTTCTGTTCATAGGAAGGTGGAGTTACATTCCCTATTAGCTTTAGTTATTCAGATTTTTTTAATAAATATTTTCTGCTAATTAAAATATCACATCTGTGACGACTTACATCTATTCTCCTCAAGGTCCCATGTGTATTTTATAAAATTCTAAGCCATGGGACACAGGATCTGTCACTCTTACTTGATTGCAAACAGCCAGACCAGCCGCGGCACAGTGAAAACCATCATTCGCTGTTGAGCTCCTTTTGACCCAAAGGATGTTTGGCACTGTGTTTCCCTGTATTGGGCTGGAGGTACAACAGGCTTTGGCAGCATCCTTTGCACCAGCCAGGCTTACTTAAGCTCCATGAAATTGCCCAAATCTGGCCCAGGGATGCTGCTGATGGGGTTTGCCAGGCGAGCAGTGCTGTGAGCCCATGGAGCGCCGGGAGGCTGCGGGG